ACGAGCACCTGCGAGCCATCACCACAGTATTTGCGAAGACAAAAACCCTACCACGGCATTTGCCAAGACAAAGACCTTTCCACGAGCACCTGCGAGCCATCACCACAGTATTTGCGAAGAGAAACACCCTACCACAAGCATCCGCGAACCATCACCGCGGCATTTGCCAAGACAAAAACCTTACCACGAGCACCTGCCGAGCCATCACCACCGTATTTGCGAAGACAAAACCCCTACCACAAGCATCCGCGAACCATCACCGCGGCATTTGCCAAGACAAAAACCTTACCACGAGCACCTGCGAGCACCACAGTATTTGCGAAGACAAAAACCCTACCACAAGCATCCGCGAACCATCACCGAGGCATTTGCCAAGACAACAACCTTACCACGAGCACCTGCGAGCCATCACCACAGTATTGGCGAAGACAAAAACCCTACCACAAGCATCCGCGAACCATCACCGCGGCTTTTGCCAAGACAAAAGCCTTACCACGAGCACCTGCGAGGCATCACCACAGTATTTTTGCGAAGACAAAAACCCTACCACAAGCATCCGCGAACCATCACCGCGGCATTTGCCAAGACAAAAACCTTACCACGAGCACCTGCGAACCATCACCACAGTATTTGCGAAGACAAAAACCCTACCACAAGCATCCGCGAATCATCACCGCGGCGTTTGCCAAGACATAAACCTTACCACGAGCACCTGCGAGCCATCACCACAGTATTTGCTAAGACAAAAACCCTACCACAAGCATCCGCAAACCATCACCGCGGCATTTGCCAAGACAAAAGCCTTTCCAAAAGCACCTGCGAGCCATCACCACCGTATTTGCGAAGACAAAAACCCTACCACAAGCATCAGCGAACCATCACCGCAGCATTTGCCAAGACGAAAACCTTACAACGAGCACCTGCGAGCCATCACCACAGTATTTGCGAGGACAAAAACATCACCACAAGCATCCGCGAATCATCACCGTGGCATTCGCCAAGACAAAAACCTTACCACGAGCACCTGCGAGCCATCACCACAGTGTTTGCGAAGACAAAAACCCTACCACAAGCGTGCGCGAACCATCACTGCGGCATTTGCCAAGACAAAAACCTTACCACGAGCACCTGCGAGCCATCACCACAGTATTTGCGAGGACAAAAACCCTACCACAAGCATCCGCGAATCATCACCGCGGCATTTGCCAAGACAAAAACCTTACCACGAGCACCTGCGAGCCATCACAGTATTTGCGAAGACAAAAACCCTACCACAAGCATCCGCGAACCATCACCGCGGCATTTGCCAAGACAAAAACCTTACCACGAGCACCTGCGAGCCATCACGACACTATTTGCGAAGACAAAAACCCTACCACAAGCATCCGCGAACCATCACCGCGGCATTTGCCAAGACAACCTTACCACGAACACCTGCGAGCCATCACCACAGTATTTGCGAAGACAAAAACCCTACCACAAGCATCCGCAAACCACCACCGCGGCCTTTGCCAAGATAAAAGCCTTGCCACGAGCACCTGCGAGCCATCACCACAGTATTTGCGAAGACAAAAACCCTACCACAAGCATCCGCGAACCATCACTGCGGCATTTGCCAAGGCAAAAACCTTGCCACGAGCATCTGCGAGCCATCACCACAGTATTTGCGAGGACAAAAACCTTACCACAAGCATCCGCGAACTATCACCGCGGCATTTGCCAAGACAAGAACCTTACCACGAGCACCTGCGAGCCATCACCACAGTATTTGCGAAGACAAAAACCCTACCACAAGCACCTGCGAGCCATCACCACAGTATGTGCGAAGACAACAACCCTACCACAAGCATCCGCGAACCATCACCGCGGCATTTGCCAAGACAAAAACCTTACCACGAGCACCTGCCAGCCATCACCACAGTATTTTTGCGAAGACAAAAACCCTACCACAAGCATCCGCGAACCATCACAGCGGCATTTGCCAAGACAAAAACCTTACCACGAGCACCTGCGAGCCATCACCACAGTATGTGCGAAGACAAAAACCCTACCACAAGCATCCGCGAACCATCACCGCGGCATTTGCCAAGACAAAAACTTTACCACGAGCACCTGCGAGCCATCACCACAGTTTTTGCGAAGACAAAACCTTACCACAAGCATCCGCGAACCATCACAGCGGCATTTGCCAAGACAAAAAACTTACCACGAGCACCTGCGAGCCATCACCACAGTATGTGCGAAGACAAAAACCCTACCACAAGCATCCGCGAACCATCACCGCTGCGTTTGCCAAGACAAAAACCTTACCACGAGCGCCTGCGAGCCATCACCACAGTATTTGCGAAGACAAAAACCCTACCACAAGCATCCGCGAACCATCACCGTGGCATTTGCCTGAAACCTTAGCACAAGCACCTGCAAGCCTTCACCGCGGCCGCTGCCAAGACGAAAACCTTACCGCAAGCACCTGCCGCATTTTGAAGATCCATGTGACACTAGCAAACGCTTGAGGGGCGCTTTGTAATGCTTGCACATGCTTGCGAAGCCGCTCTGCTGATTCTTTTTCAACGCTCTGACCGAAAGCACGCACATCTTTAAAGGAGAACCCTTCTGGCTCGTTCGGGAACGCAGCATCCATCGCTTGTCAATGCCAGGTGGCGATGCAAAGCACAAAGATCATCCAAGACGCAGGGACGTTCCGCCCCACGGCAGAATGTCAAGATTCCGATGCTAAATTCGGATGGGGTTTTGGCTTCATGGGTTCGCAGGGTATGAGAGCCTTGATTCTTGGAAGCCCTAGGTGCTTAAGACGCATGACTGTGCTGTTTCTTCATCCTGTCATGTAATGTTTGCAGAAATGGAGATGAGCTAAGGGTTTTCGAAGTGCATACCCCCTGCAGATGATGGTCCTTGAGTGACTGCTGACGCCAACTTCCCCGCCAGATGTATGATGGGCTCTGCAACGCTGATCGGCTACGGAAGGCCTTGGAGGGGCAGCGCTAGTGTGTTGGGACCGACCGGCTGTTCGGCTGTCGCACAGTATGTAATCTTCTTCAGGCTGCTTTGGCCGACCTCCTCCAACGGCAAGAGGAGGACAGACCGTCCACAGAACTGCAATGGTTTTCCTAAATCTTTTTTGCATGTTGTAAGGGCTCTGGAGGAATTTAGAAAGGACTTTGAAGGGCACTGTGCGATAGGAGATGTAGGGGCGAAGATTTATTGTTTAGGATTCAGGGTCTTCAGGTTGTAGAACCAGAAGGGCAATCAAAAAACTCTAGGTTAGCCTAAACCACAAACAGTTAAACAATCCCTGGGTGGCAAGATGTTGAAAATATTGTGCTTGGAGGCAAAGAACCGTGATAACATCCGATGGAACCCTCGTGAAGCCCTGCTTGAACTTCATCATAAATAGAGCAACACTTGTGAACCCGGGTAGAACCCTTACTAACCTAGGACAATCCGTTTAGAGCTCTTAATGGAAGACCTACTTCTAAAGTGCCCTACACCCCAAACCCTAAAACCTAAGCCTTAAACCCTATAAACCCTAAACCCTACGTTTCGCAGGTCGCCGTGCTCTGTCTTGCTGTTTTGGAGCTCCAGAACATCCATGCAGCTGGCCCGGTGGTGCAGGTCCCCCCAACAAAAAGGATTCGGGCTTTGGGGATCAGGGCTGCAGAGCTTTAGGGCTTCGGGCTTTTGGGGCTTTTGTGTTTGAGCTCTTCAGGACTTTTGCTGTTTTGCCTGAGGGCTGTTGGCTTCAAGGTTGTTAGGGGCTTTTCGGGCTGAGGGCTTCTAAGGTTTTGCAATTTTGAGGCCTGCAGGGCTTAGTATGCACTTGGGGTTTCAAGGCTTTTGATGGCTTTAGGGCTTCGGGCTCCAGGGGTTCTGAAGACTAAAGAGTCAGGGCTTTAGGTGCCTGAGGGTTTTTACGGATAAGGGCATTCAGGTACTAGAGCCAATTTTTCGGGCTTGAGGCCCTTGACTATGCTCGAGGCCTTCATCCTTATGTACCCTTTGACTCAAGCCGTCAACGTAACGTCCTACACCCTGCATCGGACCACCCTTAGTAGTTGTAAATGCTTTCCGGCCACGAGGAAGCAATATTCTGGGGCCAGGGTTTCGGGTGGGCCACGATGCCTGTTGATAGCCGAAGCCCAATTTCAGGAGCGTGTCCAGTTTTAGCCGCACCTTAATCCCCCTTACACACGGCCCTGAATGTGTTTATCCTAACCCGCCTTCGCAAGGATAACCGAGACTTGACACGGGATGACCGCCTTCTAACAGGTAGTGGGGGACATGTGTCTTGTCTCTAGGACCGTGACCCATTAGTTTGCAGAGTGTGGTAATGTAGACCTCTGATGAATGCACCCTACTTGGTTTTGGGAAGAGGGTGCGTTAGATAACCCAGCTAAACCCAAAGCACGCTGCCGATGGGCAACACCAGTGTGGTATGTTTGGGACCTAAAGCGGGCCCGCATTTACAGAACTCCCCATATAAGTTTGGGATGCTTCAGAGAATGCAGGACTTTGCCCACTAAGCCATACGAAACCTTCCGTCCGAAGGCGGCCGTATCGATTCGTTTGGCATCCCGTTGCGTCCCCAGTCAACGGCAGAACAGCATGTTTCAGGTGAGGATTCCGGGTCCAAACATGGAGGGCCTGCGTGCGGTTCAGAGGGTTTGGGGATTTGGGCTTCCGTTTTGTGACCTCACCTCTGAGGATGAGCTGGGAGCCTGGGACTTGCAGGGAGATGGACTTGAGACTTTCCATCGAAGCATGTCGGAGACGTTGTTTGCATGTTTGGAGCTCTGCAGCACTGCATAAACTCCTTGGGCCGTTCTCAAAGCGACGAGTCCGCGGGCTCCTTCCGCCGTCCCGGCCTTGCGAGTTCCGAGGCGTGCCGCCATGCCCCAGCAGTCCGAAGCAAAATTTCTCCATGAGCTGACCGAAGTCCCTTCCATGGCTGGCCCCTGGCGACCGTCGACGCCTTCGCCTACATGGCTGGTTTTAATCCAAACCAAGCTCTTGAAGCACTGAGCCGGCGGCTGGTGGAGGTCTGGGCCTCGCAGCCCGAGGATGCCGAGGCCTGGATCGATGGCTTGCGAGGTGCGACAAGGCAGGAGAAGCTCTGCGAAGCGCTGCACCGGCACGGGCTGAGTGAAGTACTGGGACGGCTGGCGCTTCTCCGAGGCGGGGCTCCTTCGAGACCTCCAGCAGCGGATCGGGAGCCCGAGGCGGCTTGGTACCTGCAGTGGCCCCACATCCGCAATCGCTGCCGGGAGCTCGCGGAGACGGCCCGGAAGCGGCAGAAGCTGGAGGAGGAGACCTCGGAGCGCCGTCGCCTCGAGGCGGAGCTCCAGAAGTCGCAGCAGGAGAGCCGAGAGCTCGGCAATCGCCTGGCCGCGGCAGAGGCGCAGGCGCGCAGCGCACAAAGCGAGAGTGCAACTCTCAAAGCGCAGCGCAAAAAGCTCGCAACTCGCGCTGCAGCTGCAGAGTCAGCTGTGACGGAGATGCGGCAGGAGCTTCAGATGGCGCAGGACGAGCATGGCAAGTGCCAGGAGCGTTGCGAGGAGCTCGTGGCTCGGTGGGAGGCAGAAGCAGCTGAGCATGCAGCGACCAAGGAGCGTCTCTCACAGACCGAATCCGATGCTGCGGAAAGGAGGGTGGAGGTGGAGCGGCCGCAAGAGGAGAGTCGCGGGTTTCAGGAGCGCTGCCAGCAGGCGGAGGCGGCCCGCTCGGTTTTGTCCGAGAGCAATAAGGTGGAGCTACAGCTCGAGAATGCAAGGCTCCAAGAGCGCTGCGAACAGTTCCAGCAGCAGCTTGCCAAGGCAGAGGCCGAGAGATCGGCGATGCTCGGTCAGATGCAAGTTTTGTGGTCAGAGACGGGCATGAACAAGGAACGCATTCGCGAGCTGGAGAGGCACCTACAAAACGCGAAGAAGTCCCATCATCGCACCTCCGGTCACAACCCCCTTAGCGAAGCTTCGTGCGAGGAGGCCACCGACGGCCAGCAGCCCGATCTTGCTGAGCAGCTGGGATACAGCTTTGTGGATGACGACGGCACATCCTCTTCGGTCTTGAGCTGCTCCTCTTGGTTCTCGGTGAAGCTGGACTCCATGGAACCTCACTGCTTCATGGTCGATGCCATCTTCAAGACGCGGAGCTACGGCACCGACTTCTTCTTGATGGGGCGAGACCTGAAGAAAGGCTCGCAGGTGGTGGCCGGAGATGACGCATCGATCCTGGAGGTAGCCAAGACGCCGGAGATCTGCGAAGCCAGCGAGGTTGTCGAGTTGCAGGCGGGAGATGCCGTGCTACGGGTGACCCCAGACCACTTGGTGCAGGTCTCCCCAAAGGGCGACACAGAGGAGAGCCTGTACCTTGAGGCTGGCAAGCTGAAGGTGGGCGACCTGGTCATGCTCGACTCCGGCGAGCCCGTGGCCCTCAGCAGCGTCGTCATTCGGCCCATTATTTGCCAGGTGCTGAAGATCGTCTTTGAGCCCTACCTGCCCGTGGCCGTCTTCTCTCGCCCCACCTGCATCCTCAGCTTGGGCCACAAGAAGAAGCGGCCCATTCGTCGTGGTGGAAGAATCCGGGAAGGCGCGGGTCCCTCAGATGACAGCATGGACGGCGGCGTTTCTGTGCCGATTACGGCGGGTGAGTACATGGACTAGCCTTGGCTGAGGATGTGTCTGGGATGTGTATAGATGGGCCCGAAGGCATCCTCGATTGCAGTTTTTGTGAATTCACGGACTCCGGCGATGTGTGGTCAAGGAGGTCAGCGCACCGCCACCTAGGCATGCTAGTGCCAGACCCGTCTTGGCTTGTCGCTGGAGTCGCTCGAGTGTGCAGCGCACGTGACCCCCACTTTACACGATCCAAATCGTCGCCCATGTAAGCTACATTAACGTGGCATATTTGCAACCGTTTTGCGGCATGGGTGTGCAGAAGTGAAGACGGTTAGCAGCACCAAGTGACGATGTTTAGTGGGGGTTGCTGTGCCGGCAGAAGATCTCGTGGCAGTTAGATTTCTTCCAGGCTTCAGAACCCTGCACAGAAGACTGCAGGTCAGAGCGCTTCCACTCTGGATCTGAGGTTGAATCGCTCGCTCGTCAAAAACTGTCGCATCGTTGTTCCTCTGCCCTGCCTGTCCAGGGCTTGCCATGGACTCGTGCTGTTGTTGTTGCGATATCCGTGCTAGAGGGCTTCGCTTTAGGTTCGGGGATGAGGGGTTGGTTCACGGCTCTAGGCACCGGCGACTTCGGAGTCGGAATGTGGGTAGGAACCACGGCGTTTGTGTTCAGCAGCTTTCAGGGATGATGGCTTGGGACTTTCGAAGTTCGGTGTCGGAGGCTTGGGGTTTAGGTTTTAGCGGATCCCGGGCCCTGGTGTAGTCTAGGGGCTTTTGACAAATAGAATTCGCTCAATAGGGTTTGGAGTATGCTATATGATTGCTTACGTACGGGCAAAAAGACTATTCATTCTTATAACTATAAGGAATCATTCTTCGAGGTTCGGAAATGCAGGATCTGATAGTTAGAAATTAGAAAGGATGATGCCAAGCCTAGCATATCTTCGGCCGGGTTGAGTCCTCTATCATCCTCTATCTATCTATATCCAAGGCCCCGTTGAAGATCTCGCGGAGGACTGCAAGCATTGCGGAGTGTGGACGGTCCATTGTCGGTAAGACCTTGTGAAGGATCTCCATCTGTGGAGGAGTTTTTGCTTCGGGTATAGTTTTGATGGTGAAGAAACCGGGCGGCTTCGGATCTGAGTAACGAACTGATGTGACGGTCCAGGCCCCAAGCCCAGCTTGTTCTAGTTATACATAGTTACACTATGATTATTCTTGTTCCTTGTGTCTCATCATTTCCACACCCTCCTAAAGCATAGCCAGCCTGATGAGCCCTGAACCGCAAACACCAAAGTCAAACAGGTTGCAAACGTCATCCTTCCGAAATCACCAACAGCCCTACGCACCTAAATCGGAAAAGCCTTGAACCTCCCAACACTGCATCTGTTGTAAACACAAAAATCCCAAACCCCAAACTAAACCCTAACTTTGCATCGCAAACCCGTGTTTACAGGGAACTACCGAAGTCGCAACGCATGTCAGCAAATCGGAGCAGACCTTCGAGGAAGCGAAAACGCCAGGTCGTAACATTCAGCGGTGTAGTTGGTGATACGAGTTCCTTGCCAAAGTACAGTTTTAGCACTGCAAATGCATCGTTTAGGATCCTTGATGGATTGTGCTTGGTCGTCGTGCGACTTTAGTGCTGGAAAAGCCTCGTTTGGGGTCCTGGCTGGATTGTGCTCGGTTGTCGTGGGGCTTTGGTGCTGAAAATGCTTCGTTTGGGGTCCTGGCTGGATTGCGCTTGCTTGTAGTGCAATGGAAATGCCTCGTTTAAGGTCCTGGTTGGATTGCGCTTGGTTGTTGTACAACTTTAGTACTGGAAATGTCTCGTTTTCGGTCCTGTCTGGGTTGTACTTGGTTGTAGTACAACTTTAGTACTGGAAACGCCTTGTTTGGGGTCCTGGCTGGATTGTGCTTGGTTGTGGTACAACTTTAGTACTGGAAATGCTTCGTTTGGGGTCCTGGCTGGATTGTGCCTGGTTGTAGTACAGCTTTAGTGCTGGAAATACTTCGTTTAGGAAGCTGGCTGGATTGCGCGTGGTTGTAGTGCAGCTTTAACATTGGAAATGCCTCGTTTGGGGTCCTGGCTGGATTGTGCTTGGTCGTAGTACAACTTTAGCACTGGAAATTTGTCGTTTGGGATCCTGGCTGGATTGTGTTGGGTTGTAGTTTTACCATTGGAAATGCTTTTTGTCGGTTCCAAGCCCACTGTTCGGAAGAAAGATCCAGACATAATGCCAGTCTGTTCCGGCGGCAGCTGAATGCTTGATCCAGTCGTCCGTCAGGCTGATCTTCCACGAAGCCTTCATGAGCCTCTGTGCCATCGATAACGTCTCCTGAGTCTTTCGCATGCTGCTGAACAGTCCCCTCTATTCAGAATGATTCGACCGCTGTCTTCTTGCTTTCGAACTTACTGCGAACAGTGCTGTGGAGATGCAGGCTCCGTACTCTTGCATGCGGACGATGATTTCTTATGCAGTCGATGCTTTCCTGTTGCCGACTTGCTTCTTCTTAATGGGGTTCCTTTGTTGCAGCTTGCGCGAATGCTGTGGGAGCTCTTTGCTTTGGCGCTTCAGAACGTCCAGAAGCAAGCAGTGGACAGATGAAAAAGAGTCCTGGGATTCTTTGCCGACTGATCGACTGATCATGCAGACAGCAGCGCACGATCTGAATGTTAGCTGGACGAGTCGTCTTTGTCGTCGTCGTCGTGGCCGTCATCGTCGTAGATGTAGTACGCGTAGTCGCCATTGTCGTGGTAATACTTGTAGCTGCTGTTCCTGCTGCACTACTACTACTACTACTACTACTACTACTACTACTACTACTACTACTACTACTACTACTACTACTATTACTACTACTACTACTACTACTACTACTACTACTACTACTACCGTTTTTCTACCCGGTTGTTATTGGGTGCAAGCCTCCATGTGCAGCTGTAGCCTATATGTACAGGCCCTCTGGCCCACAGAACAGAATGGGACGAATTTGAAGCTAATGTGCCGATGTAGTCGACATGCCCTTCGTCCAATGGGTGGATTCTTTCGTACCGAGTTGTGGTTTGTGGTAATTGTTTGCTTTGTACTCTGGCTCGGTGTTGAGAAACTCACCGGATGCAGGCATGTCCAGTGGCGTGATCCAGATCGAGGGCCGTCCCGGAGTAGTTCATGGCTGTAACTTGCGTTGTGCTGTTTTGACTTTCTGGGGTATCCTCGTGACTAGTGACCTTTTAAGTCCCTGCGGAGCTGTCATTGGCGTGCCATGTGGGTGACAAAAACTATTACTGCTACTACTACTTGAAGTTGTGAGTTTCAGGGTTTTCGATGCCGCAGCCATCATATGCTGCGAGCAGTAGGCCGCTTCAAAGACGGTTGCTCGACGATAAACTCTGGAACGACGCCAAACCAACCAAAACCCTAACACAACCCGAACCCTAACCCCCAAAAGCCTAAACCCTAAACCCCGAAAAGTCCTTGTGGGGCTTCTTGATCATTTTCAGGGCACGCTATTTAAAGATCCCAAGTGTAACGGTGCATCCATTAGAGGTTCACTTCTCATGTTTTGCCGATGCCGTTGGCCTCTCTGCCCGTTGAACACCGCGCTGGCTCTGGTGCCTCAAGTGCAGCGGCCCGGATATGTCAAAGATAAGGGAGGGCCAGAAAAGCCCGTGAGCACAAGGATCAGACGTTTAAGGGACTTCCGGGGAGAAGAATCGGGTCATTTGCTTCTTTCTTTGTTGGTTATCTGTGTCGTTTTGTACTTGACTGGCTGGGACCTGTCACGCTTGCTTGGGGGCTGCTCACTGGGTTAGCTTCGTCTATTTCTCTGGGTCTGGGGATTAGCTTGAAACACCAATATAAACCAGTTATAAATGTGTGAAAACCGCACAATAGACCAAAGCCTGACAAAAAAAACTAATAGAAGATGAACGGAAGAAAGAAAAAGCAATAACAACCAGTAAAAAAACCATAAACCAATGTGCGATTCCGGTTCACCAAATATCTTAAACACACCCCGCTCATCGGGTGACTCCGGTTCACCATATACCCTAAACACACCCCCTGTTGGGCGATTCCACGTCATTGGGCAATGCCGGTTCATCATATATCTTAGTAAACACGTCCCCTCGTGTGGCATTTCCGCTTCATCAAATATCTTAGGCAGCGAGTCCTGTTCATCATATATCTTAAACAAACCCCTCCGTTGAGCGACTCCGGCTCATCATACCTTTTAAGCCTGTCCCCTCACTTGGCGATACTTCTGCATCATGTATCTTAAACACGGCCCTCGTTTGGCGATCCGGTTCATCATATATGTGAAAAACGCCCCTCATTGCGCGATTCCTGTTCGTCACATGTCATATTATATCTTAAACACGCCCCCTCATTTGGCGTTTCCGGGTTCAGCATATGGTATATCTTAAACACATCCCCTCATGTGGCGATTCCCCTTCATTGGGCGATGCCGGTTCATCATATATCTAAACATGCCTTTTCGTTTGGCGTTTCCGGTTCATCATGTATCGTTGCCTTCAGAGTGCAGGCGGCGGTGTTTAGGTTTTTGTTAGGAAGATGCCGAACAAGAAGGTGATGACGCTCCTTCGTAATCATTTGCAGTGCTGTGAGGGTGTTCATTCAAGGGTGCAGGAGCAGCGTTTGGGTGGATTGGTGCTCCCTCACTGTTGTGGTATAGTGTTCTCGTGTCTTGGGCTGGGGGTGGAGCGAGTTCGGGCATCCAGTGTTTTCAGAGCCTTGAGTTTCAAAGATTGGTGTCACGACCTACTACCCATTCCGACTTAAGGTTTTGATCTTGGGGTTCAGTGGCTTGGGTTTTCTATGGTCGGACCCTGGCGAGTTTTGGGATGTTGGTCTATACTGGGGCCCGGGCTCGTCCTGAATGTTCCTGGGTCTATCCTTGGGGCACCATATCGGGGATACGAGTCATAAACACCAGAGTTCAAGCGTTTCTTGTTGTACATCCTCAGCTGAAGAACTACTGAACACCAAGCCGCACGCATGTCGCTGGGGCTTGCAACAACAAGTGCATCTCGCGGAATTACAACGTTCAAGATGCAGGCAACGTAAAGCCTTGCAAAATAATCCCTCAGGCCTAAAAGCCCCAAACACAGGGCCCCAGTTCCGTCAAGCCCAGAAGCGCATAGATGCGCCTTATGCCAGCATGTATCAATGTATCCGCATGGTTGGCCCCAGCAAAGTGATGAGCCTGTTGGGACATGGGTGATAGGTTATAGGGAAGTCTAGCACTTGTCCACTAGACACTAGACAGTCCTGCGAGTGCTTATGCAAAGCGTTTGTCATAGCAGTCAGTCCTAAACATACAAGCGTGTCTAGGTCATCCGATTGCTCTGAGCAAGTTCGTAACAGATCTGGTGTTGCCGTCACGGAACAATCAGTTCATGCTCGAGTCGGGTAGAACGACGCTCATCAAGCTGTGCATGTGCATCAGTCGTGAATTCCCCTTAGCCTGTACCGCCTAAAGCCATGTTATTGGTTGCCAGGACCCTTTGGGCAAGCTTCTTGTCTTGAGGTCTGCGTGGCGGAAGAAGACTAAGCTTGGAAAACCTGTACGTGCCGAGCTCTACCCTTTCAAGCCTCGACGAAATCTCTATAAGTCCTCGTGTTTTTGTAGTGGCCGAGGCTGCAACTTCAGGATTAGGTTTGTCTAGGGAGGAGGCCTCTTGATGGCTCCGTCTCGGCTGGACTTTCGGTGGACCCAGTGTTGAAACAGAGGCTTCTCTTCAGAACTACACTTCAAACACAAAAGCCCAGATGCAGCAGCAAAGCAGAACCCTGCGACTCGACTCAGGTGGCTCCCAACTGGTGCATGAAGGGGCAACCAAAAGCCAACCCTGCATCCGCGATTCTTGGATTGCGTGCTTTTATACTTCATTGCTTGGCCGAGGGCCTTTGGGATTGTCCAGAGTCCCGTTTGGCTTGTAGGCTTGAGGAGGGACGGTGAGGCTCATGGCATGATCTGTTGGCGGATGAACCAACTAACTACAAGAAGCAAGAGTTTGTGCTAGTTTATGCCACGGTCTCTTCCCCACCCTCGTTCCTAAGCCTGTCTACGTGGAGCCTTGCCTGCTGCGTGCGAGAGTAAGCGGCCGCATACTCAACAAGAACTATCTATAAACCTCCCAGAAGCCGCCATCGCGAGCCACCCATGCTTGGCCGGTCTTCGATGTGGCAGGCCGGGACTGACATGGGGGAGAGTTTTGCTCATGACTGTTGGGCTGTATGGCCGGGCTGCGTGCACATGGTGTTTGAGGTTGGCCAGACAAACTGGTCATGACTGGGACAAGTTGACTCTATCGGCTGAGGCAAATGCCGGTGCGCTACAAAATGTGGTGAAGTCCCATCCCAGAGACCCTGATTCGAGCAAGTTTCCTGCAGCAATTGAGTTGCGCATGACATTCTTACCAGATGAGCGCCGGGGTTGAGGTCGTGTTTGTCCCAAAGTTTGATGTTGCTGTTAACGTTGTGCTAAGGGGATTGCGGCCGTGGGCTATCATCATGTTAGGTGCAATGGTCGATAAACCGCGTGCGTGCGCGCTCGTAGGAAGTAGGCAAGAAGTCGGCGTGAAGTAGACAGCAGATAGTAGGTAGCGGTAGTTCACCGCTGGACTTTGAAGCGTGTTGTCTTGGTTCGAAGGGCCAGTACATTTCAGCCTCATTGGGAGACTTCAGTCAAGATGGTGCGCAAAGAGGACCGTACTTCACCATGGAAGGAAGGCTTCACACCCGCGCAGCGTCTGGAACAAAAGATGGTGGACATGGGGTTCGAGAAAGCCGAGGAAGCCCATGCAGCACAACGGCTGGAAAACAAGACCAAAGGAAAGTCCGAGAAGCCCAAAGATAAGGCCAAGGATGCAAACAAGAAAACAGAGAAGACCATCCGAAAAGATAAGGCTGGACTTCAAGAGGGAAAGATTGGCAACAGGGAGTCGCAAAAGGATGAAGTCCAAGTGGTGAAATGGTCCATGACAGTATCAAATGCCATTTCAGGAGAGACCATCGGCCAGTACCTCATGGCGCCCACAGATCTGGTGCAGGATCTCAAGGACCGCGTGGAGTCCCAGCTTTGCCCGGGAAGATCCTGGGCTGCGAACGGGCGGCTGCTGCACCAGACGCAAGTGCTGTCTGAAGCACTGATGCTCAAAGAGGCACAGATCCAGGAATCTTCTGAGCTGCAGTACCTGTCACACATACCAGTCTTGGAAGATGAAGGTCGAATCATTCCAAGAAGTGACGTCTTCTTGTTGCCAGAGGTGATGAAGCAGGTTCTAGACTCCTGCAAGCTCCAGCCTTACCAGCCGAAGGTGCAGTGGGTTCTAGACGCGGTGATAGCAAAGCAGTCGCAGGAAGAACTTGAGCAACAGTGGAAGGACATGTCCGAAGAGCCAGGCGTCCAATGTGAAGATTTGAGGCCCGACATGATGTCCCTCCTCCTGACAGCATACTGTTGTGTTTTTCGGGATTTGTTGAACTCATATTGACTGAGACGATTCTCGGCACGAGTTGCCTTGCATGTGTGTAGATCAAGGACTTGCAGCAACTATCTGGGTAACGATAGTTGCTGCGCATGTAGTCCAAGTCCCAGTTTGAGGCAACACCTTGCTCCATGCAACGTCAGCTTTCTTGCGAAAATCTCGAACATATAAAGCATCCACAAAAGAATCTGAGTCAAACATCTTGCGTGAGTAGGAGATTGTAGGAGGCGTATCTAAGATAAGGAGGATTAAAACATGCAGAACACTGGTCAAGTCGAACATTCATGCAGCAAGGCCCGTGCCTCCGGCGTCACCGTGGCTTCAATTCAGAGAAGGGCACAGAGGTGCTTGCAGGAAAAGGTTCTACATTATGATGTGTGAGTTCGAGAAGGGTGTGTTAAAGTTCTCCTATGTGATCTTCAACAACGGCTCCTACATGCCTGTCGAGAACCCACCGCTTGGATGGCTTCCCCCAGGCTCACTCGGGGATGCAGATGGAAAGCATGCTGCCCCACTGCTTCGGCCAATCAGAGCCGGTGGGTGGAGGCCTAGTGTGGATTGCTTCATGACCAGCTCCCAGAATTTAGCCTTGCCTTGCGCCATCCTGGCGCTGCAGTCTGAGGGCTATGAAGTCATGGAAGTAGTTGCCGCTGACCGGCTTCATGGATATGGAGTACGTGCTGGGTTTGACTTGGTCTTGGCAGTGAAATCCTTGAAGACGCTTCAGACTTCTGTCCTGCCTGTTTACTTCCATCCTTTGATGACTTCCGCAGCTACCACTATCGATGACATGAATACATTCTCCCGCAGGTACTTCGATAACAGGCTTTTTGACGATTACCTCGACGCAGCTGTGTGCGAAAGCGTTCAGCATGTCTTGGTCTTGTGGCACATCGATCTGGTGCAGACCCTGCGCTGGACTTTGGCTCCGATCCCTGCGGCCTTCCGAAGCTTCCGACGCCAGCTTGCCAAGCAATGGTTCCCAGACAGCGACATTCGCATTGACAACTTCAACAAGTTGTTGCAGCAGCAGCTGTTCGTCCAAAACAGCTTAGAGCCGAGCCTCTTGGACTTGCCCAAGACGGTTTGTGCCAATCCGTCCTGTCCAGCTGGGGCGGATTGCTCCAAGCATCATCACCTCTTCCAAATTTCCGTAGCTCGCATTTGTCCTGGTGGAGACCGGTGCCGCCGGAACCGCTTCAAGCGCCCTTGTTACGGTCACCATTGCCGAGGGCAACCAAATCCACAGCAAGTCGGTCACTAGGCGGCAAGCGTTTCTTTGTGTTGTGGTTTTGTTGTCTTTCCGACATAGGCAGGTGGTACAAGAGAGACATGAGAGGTCCCCGCTGCAGTCCGACAGAAGGACCCCCACGACATTGCAGAATAAGTCAGAGATTCATTAGATCATACGAGACCAATCGTTTTCAATCTTGTTGGGAAAAAAGCTTCGTTTTCGTTGCTTAGGTCCGATGCCATGCAATTGCGTCCAGCTTTGGGCTCCTACGGCGACCTCAGCTCCGTGGTCTCCACCGAAACCAAAAGCCAAAGCAAAGGGCAAAAAGGACAAAGCTTCTGCAGCTAGTTTGCAGAACAGATGGGATCAAGAGTTAAGGGTCCTTGAGTTTGCGCTGCGGACTAGTACTGGTACGGTTGTGGTCATTGACTCCAAAAGCCAGGTGGATGATTACGACGAACTTCCAAAAGGTCTGGATGCCCTCTGCAAATTTCTGAGTAGCGTTAGGACAACTAAACAGAGCTGATTGAGCCTGTTTGCGCTGGCGAAGCTGGGCATTTGTACTGGCACAATGGTGGGCCCCCACCACACGCCTGGGATGCTTGGGAACGTGCCAACTGCTGGCTATTGAGAGCCGCTATAGAGCAGGGAGGAGCTGTATGCCGTGTTGCTAGTGCAACTGTTCAATAGGTGGGGGCGCATCATTGATGCACAGTTGCTGTCCAACAGCCACGGGAAATCGATCAACATCGCTGGTTTCTTGAATCCAACTTTAAGACTTAGACTTCGTACTATCCTTATGTACTATAGTGAGACTTTTCAAAGTTTGTATGACCGCTGCTATTTCGCTGCTATTCAGTATCGTTGCTGTTTTTATCAAGCAGTTGCTGAAACTGTCGCCACATTTTCATGTAGGCTCAAGACCTCGTTTACCGCCAATCAATGTGCAGATTTGGGTTGACGTGTCTTGTCCGGATCAGGTGTGACGTTGTCATGCTTGAATTCTGGCCGTTTTCCGACAGTCAAACGAGTTCATTATGATGCTTGCATCGCTGTGCTGGCAGGAAAAAGCGACACACAACTGATGCAGATTGAGCCTGCCAGGTGTTGGTACACGCCAGTAACAAGCGGATGAGAAATAACATCGTCTCCAAAATGCTCTAGAGGAAAGTGAAACACACAACAGAATGTCCGAGAAACGTGTGCTGGCGATTATTTGAATAGATTTTCCCGAGCGTTGAAATCGCTGCCAGTCGCCGCACGAACGGCACCTCAACGGCCTCGACGATTGTCCACAAAAGGAAACGCTTCTGGCAACTGAGCACCTTGAACCTTGACGGCAAGCAGACCCGAGCATGCTCCCAGGGTAATTTGCTGTGCCTCGACCCTGAGGATCCCGTTGCTTCCTCCTTGCAACGTGCGAACTGGAGAAGGCAAGAGTCCAGAGACATCCCCAGTCAGGAGGGCTCCCTCCAGAAGTGTCCCGATGTGCCCTGAGCTTTGCTGGAAGCATTGTTGAACCTGAGCGGAAAAGATTGTTCTTCATGCCAACGAACGGTGTCGGAGTCGGGATCTCTGCTCTGCGCATGTGGCCGGCCAGTCGCAGTATCTGCAGCAGCTGCTCACCCGGATCTTGCTCACGCCTCAGCCTTGCGTCGTTTCGCTGGGCCTAGTCGTCGCGATAGTCATCGTCGTGGTCGTAGTGGTAGTAGCAGTTGTAGCAGTAGCAGCAGTAATAGCAGTAGCAGCAGCAGTAGTATTAGTCGTAGTAGTAGTAGTAGTCGTCGTCGTCGTAGTAGTCGTAGTACCACACACACGCTCGTAGCAGGACTGGTTTTTTCATGAGTCTCGGGGCCAGTTTGGACGATAGGAGGGGGGCAGAGGATAATAACGTTCATGTCACTGCCTTTGGCGATCATGCTGAAAACACTGGCAGTTACAGCATGCTTGCTTCTTTGTACAACATACTGCGCAAGGATGTGGAGCAAGACACGCTGTCACAAGCGTCTATGCTTTTGGCGACCATGCCCAAAGCACTTGTATTTTCAGCGATTTTGCCTCTTTGTACAGCATACTGTACAAGTAGTGCTTTCCTTTGTGAAAGAAATTAAATGCGTAAAACGCCCGCAGCAGAAGAAACGTACCAAACCTTCCAAAACTTCTTCGTGCTTCTTGACACCCGCAGTCGCCAAATGCGAGCCGGGATTGCATCCGCGAACCATCACCACAGCTTTTGCCAAAGCAAAAAACTTAGCACAAGCCTGTGCGAGCAATCACGGCGGCATTTGCCCAAGACAAATTCCTTGCCACAAGCTCCTGCTAACCATCACCGCGGCATTTGCCAATACACAGTCCTTAACACAAGCACCTGCGTGCCATCACCGCGGCATATGCCAAGACAAAAACCTTACCACAAGCACCCGCAAACCATCACCGCAGCATTTGCCAAGACAAAAACCCTTGCCACAAGCACCCGCGAACCATCACCGCGGCATTGGCCACGACCAAAACCTTAAGATAAACATCCACGAACCATCACCGTGGCATTTGCCAAGACCAAAAAACACAAGCACCTGCGAAACATCCACGGCATGTGCCCAGACAAAAATCTGACCACAAGCACCCGCGAACCATCACCGTGGCTTTTCAAAACCTTACCACAAGCACCTTCGAGCCGTCACCGCAGCGTTTAGCCAAGACAAAGCCCTTACCACAAGCCCTTGCGAGCCTTCACCGCTGTGTTTGCCAAGATATAGGCCTTTCCATGAGCACCCGCGATTCATCTCCGCGGAATTTTGCCAAGACAACAGTCTTAACACAAGCAACCGCGAACCATCATTTGCCAAGAGAAAACCCTTTCCACGAGCACCTGCGAGCCTTCACCACGGTGCCCAGACAAAAACCTCGACAAGCATTAGCGAACCATCAGGACCTGCGATCCATCACCGCAGCAATTGCCAAGACAGAAACCTTACCACCAGCACCCGCAAACCATCACCACAGTATTTGCCAAGACAAAAACCTTACGGCTGGCATCCGGGAACGATCACCGCAGCATTTGCCAAGACAAAACCCTTACCACAAGCATCTGCGAAGCATCACTGCGTCATTTGCCAAGACGAAAACCTTACCACAAGCACATGCGAACCATCACTGCGGCAATTGCCAAGACAAAAACCTTACCACAAGCACCTGCAAACCATCACCACGGCACTTGCCGAGACCAAACCCTTGCCTCAAGCACCTGCGAAACATCACCGCGTCGTTTGCCTAAAACCTTAGCACAAGCACCTGCGAGCCTTCACCGCGGCATATGCCAAGACAAAAGCCTTACCACAAGCATCCTGGGACCAGCACCGCAGCATTTGCCAACACAAGGACCTGCGAAGCTTCACCGCGGCATTTGCCAAGACAAAAACCTTACCACAAGCACCTGCGCATTATAACCGCGGCATTTGCCAAGACAAAAACCTTACCACAAGCACCTGCGAGCCTTCACCGCGGCAATTGCCAAGACAAGACCCTTACCAGAAGCACCCGCGAACCAGCACCACGGCACTTGCCAAGACGAAACCCGTACCAAAAGCACCCGCTAACCGTCACCGCGGCATTTGCCAAGACAAAAACCTGTACGAGCAATTGCGAACCATTGCCGTGGCCGTTGCCAATACGAGGACCTTGCCGCAAGCACCCACGAACCGTCACCGCAGCATTTGCCAAGACAAAAACCCTTACCCCAAGCACCTGCGAGCCATCACCGCGGTATTTGCCAAGACAAAAACCCCACCACAAGCATCTGCGAACCATCACCAGGGCATCTGCCAAGAGAAGACCTTACCAGAAGCACCCGCGAACCGTCACCGCGGCATTTGCCAAGACAAAATCCTCTACAAGCACTTGCGAACCAGCACCGTAGTCATTGCCAAGACAAGAGCCTTACCACAAGCACCCGCGAACCATCACCGTGGCAGTTGCCAAGAAAAAACCTCACCACAAGCACTCGAGATCCATCACCACGGCATTTGCCAAGACAAAAACCTTACCACAAGCACTTGCGAGCCTCCACCGAAGCATTTGCCTTTCAAAAGCCTGACCGCAAGCACCTGCGAGCCATCACCTGCCCCTATCCCATCCTGTTTACAGCGCTGGCTGCATGGTTTTGCTACTATCCCGTTTACAAGTTTACCGCACTTGCTCTGGTGCGTGGCTTTTCTCTCGTTTACAGTGCTTGCAGTGTGGTCTTGCCTTTATCTTATGTACAGCAGTTGCTGTGTGGTTTTGCTTCTATTGTACGTGCAGTGGCTGCTGTGTGGCTTGGTCCTTTCCTTTTTGCAGCGCTGGCTGCGTAGTTTTGTTTCTATGTATGTACAGCGGCTGCTTTGTCCCTATCCTGTTTGCAGCGGTTGCTGCGTGGTACAGCGGTTGCTGTGCGGCATTGCCCCTATCCTGTTTGCGGCGCTTGCTGTGTGGCTTTATATCTATCCTGTGTATAGCGGTTGCTGTCCACATCCTGTTTACCGCGTTTGCTGTGTGGTATTGCTTTTATGTATAGCAGTTGCTGTGTGTGTCTTGTCACTTATCCTGTTTACAGCAGTTGCTGTGTAGCTTGGCCCCTATCCTGTTTACAGCGCTTTCTGCGTGGTTTTGCTCCTATGTGATTCTATGTACTGGGGTTGCCTTGTGGTGTTGATTCTATCTTATGTCCAGCGGTTGCCTGCGTGGTATTGCGCCTATCCTGTTTACAGCGCTTGCTGTGTGGTCTTGGCCCTGCCCTGCTTGGGCCTTATGTTGTTTACAGTGCTTGCTGCGTGGTTTGGTCCTTCTGCTGTTTGCGGCGCTTGGTGTGTGATTTGCTAAACTGCAAAACTTCAAACTTTCAGCCCTAAAAACTGAGCTCTAGACCGGAGACCCTAAACCTTTGGACTTATTGCTTGTTTGATCGCCGTCAGCTCGCTACCACTAGTTCAGTCTCACTCGACACAATCCGAATCTACTGCCTCACCTGGATTGTCCCAGTGTGAGCGCCCAAAACTTTGGCCTCCAAACCCTGAGCCGGTTGGTCTTGCCTGCGAGCCGAGTCGGCACTGACCAGGATCTCCCACACCGCAAGATCTGATACGAGAGATCTCGTCTGCACCCCCCAGATCCCGTTCGGATGATCCTATTCGTATTACTGCCGCCACAGCCCAAAGTCGTCCGAACTGATAGCAGTGTGAGTACAAGGCTAATCCGCAAACCCGAAACCTGCTGAGCGTACAAACCACCAGTACCGAAACCCGCCGAAGGTCAGCTCATCGAGGGCGCGGTGTAGAGGGCTCAGTTTTGTCTTCCCCAGCCCGGTTCGCTGTTGAATGTGGCTGTGGATCATCGCCAGTTGTGGACACCCTATGCATGACGGCACACCGGGTAGCAAAAGATTCCAGCTATCAGAACTACAAAACAGCATTCGAACAGTGCCTTCTGCCGGCTTCAGGCACCAAAGACGTGAGCCAGCATGTAGCCGTGCCGGATTTCAGTTCAGCCTGTGTCAGAGATGCTATGGCTGTCCTGCTGGCATGACAGCATCAAAGTAGCTCGCTGTGCTGCTTGAAGGTTGTTGCACGTGTTTGTCGCGCATGCCCTTGGATGTCGTTCCTTTACGTGCTTTTTGCTGCTATGTGGCCCAAGCAGAGCACAAGCGCCCCCTTTCCACATCGGCGGACGAGGAAGATGATGCAGGCTCAAAGGTCTGCGGGTCAGCGGATGAAACACGGTTTAGTGCAGAGAAAGATAGCTGGCTTAGGGTTTCATCCGCGTGACAGCTGCGGCCACCTAAGTTAGGGCTGGTTTGGGTTGTTTGATGTTCAGGGCAAAAGGACGGCGCTGGGTGGCGATGATGAGATTTTGGGCTTGAGGTTAACAGACGGTTGAGGGTGCTGCCTTTAGGTTTCTTTCGCTGGCACCGAGGGCAGGCAAATAGTCCTCCCCAAAAGGTGAGGAGCATGTGGTGTTTAAATGTTTAGACGTTTTAAACAGTTTAGGTCGGGGTTTATTCGGCAAGGGTTGTAGTCATTCTGAAGAGTATTTCTTTGACAAGGGTCGTATTCCTTCTGAAGTGGGTTCATTATGTCGGATTCATGGACCAGGGTTTCGGACAAAGGGTGTGGAAGGTTAACGGATTCAGGGATATACGGGTTTGGGATTAGGGTTTCATTACATGCTTGGGCTGGGCACTTGAAGGCTTTGGGGTTCAGGTTTGCATTGCGAAACCCAAAGCAAAATTCACCCTGACCTGCATATAGTTAAGTTTTGGTTTAGGTGTATTTAAGGGGGTGGTACCAGCATGCGTACTTAGGGTGGTACTAGTAGTGGTTTGGTGAGTGCAAACGGAATTCCAGCATCCAGGTTCGGCAACCAACTAGCATCAAGCTTGGTAGCACATGTCTGCAACTTAAGAGTTTTAACTTTTTGAGGGCTAGATTTGGAAAGTGTGGCCCGAAACCTCACAGCCTTAACTCGTGGCCCCGAGTCCTAAACCAGCAAGCCCGCAAATCCAGTCCTTAAAGCCCTATATACTTTGGATGAACTCGGGTTTGAGCTTCATGTAGGGTTCAGCATTCGCACTTAATTGGGGCTTTGGGATACGAAACATAAGATTTGGAGAATGACACCCGTCGGAACCCAGGTACTCCAGTGGGTCGACATCCCGCGCTGTGGTACGCCAGCAGCCGCCTACCTGCAGACCCATGTGCAGGCAGCAGTTCAGGGCTTAGTGTTTGTTGCAAATGAAGCCGTGATCGAAGCATAATCACCTCACCCACAAGCGTTCGGTTTACGGGCGATATCCCGACCGTGCCAACAAAGGATCCTTGTGATCTTCCTTGTTGCCGCCGTCTCCGTGGTCGTGTCATCGTCGTACTCGCAGCCGCAAGCGTTGTCATCGCCGTCTTCGGTGCAGTAGTAGTAATTGAGCAGCAGGAGTAGGAGTAGCCTGCATGTAAAACACCTCGCAGCAATCCGATGAAGCTCCCACAATCCCATATTGAACAATAACTTCCACTGCCCCAGTGGCAGGACCAGAAGCTTGCGCTGCTGGACGTGGTGCAGGCAGGTAGCGAGCGGCAGTTTGTCGTAAGCATTGCACAATCCGCAAGCCATTACACCAGATGTGCTAACAGCTTCAACATGCATCAGCATTAAGTAGAAGTTGTATAAAAGCAAGTCATACGCAAGGTGAACAACGAGAGCAAGACGAGACTAGCAGCTGCAGAAGCGGATTCCGGAGTCTTCTTCGTGCTCGACATAGTACCGACAAGACAAACATGTCGCAGAAGGGGAGTGAAACAAGAGTAGTATACAGTGGGAAGTTCTCAGGAAAATCCTCGATCTTGAGTGCAATGTCCTAAAGGCCCCATGTGCGCACAAAACAGTGGCCGCAATCTCCTACAGTGACAGTACCCCTTAGCCGGGACCTGTACCTTATTTTGGGGTCCTTATAATCAGGATCCTACTATTTAGGGTACCATATTAGGTCCTTAGAATAAGGATCCTATTATTTAGGGTACTATTACTATTTAGGGTACTATATCAGGGTCCCCTATTTTCGGAAACTCCCCAAAGTACCACCTTTTTGTGCGACTCCGAAGCCGGAGCCGGACGCGCGGCTCTTGGAGGCACTCCAAGAGGGTTTTGGTATTAAAATAGTCTTATACTATATAGTAAAGTGGACTATAAGATACCATATTGTAGTATAATATAGTATACCCTTGTCTGGGATACCCGTGCTTTTAAGTCCTCTTCTGAGCTTCGGTCTCATGTTGAAAGCTGTGCCGAATGAATCCCTACAGTTTCTTTGGGGTACTTGAAGACCAAGAAGTTTACTTTCGCAAGGGTCCTGTGATGATTCCGGATTCAACGCAAACACCTAGTCTGACGCACAAATACAAAGCCCTGTATCTTCAACCCAGACCTGCGGACCTTGAACCCGACTTCTCATGCTCCAAGACTCAACTCAAAATCTTGTAGGCCCCCCAAACGCTGAATCTTGGAACCTGAAACCGGTATATCGTCATCCCCAGCCGGTAAACCGTCTTACTCCCCGGACGCTGCAGCTAAGTGACCCCAGCAGGACTTAGTAGTGTACGGAAGTCAAGAATGAAGGTTGAGGGTTGAACGCGGCTACGTACACCAAAGGCTAAGTAATGAGCCTGAGCCAAGCGGTTGTTGAAAGCCCGCAACAGGAGGATGACTTATGGTTCGACCTGAGGGACAAAGCTCCTTGGTTGAATCATGCACTTCCCTTCATCGTACACCCCGAGAGCTAATCAGTTCTTCAATCCAAAACCTCGTCCCGACGAGGTGAACCTCGAAGCCCAAGTCCTCAATCCAAGCCCGCCTCAGAATGTGCTGTTCTTGTGGTTGGGGAGTCAGACGCATATGAACAGGCTCAGCAAGTGAACAAGCAAAGGCATCAAGAGAGAGACAGCTATGTGCACACGTGCCGTAGCAGAGGTAGTTCTTCGCCCATGTGGGAGCATGCTTTCTGTCCGGTGCCTGTGATTTCAGTTTGTTGCAGTGCGCGTAGGTCCGCACGCCCCATAAACTCGCCAACGGTAGCTTTCAGTCAAAGCCTGCATCGCATTTGCCAGGGTCCATTCGGATCTCTGGTAGAACCGAGGTGATGCAGAATTCTCAGTGTTCTATGGCAGTAGGTCAAGCTGTCGTTGTCAAGGTTGTGTCGCTTGAGCTTCGGTTTCTCCGAAAAAGCCGTGGATTGGGTTTCGGGAATGTCACAAGCCGTACGCCCAGGCATTCCAGTGGCCCGGCATCCCGCACTATGGCACACCAGCAGCAGCCGCCGTGTACCCGCAGCCCTATGTGCAGGTGGTTCCGGGCTTAAGGCATAGTTTTTCTTGCGAATGAAGCTCTGGTCGAAGGGTTCAATCGCCAACACCAGATGCTGCGTTACCGGGATTACCACGTCGATGCCAACGAAAGATACTCGTTATCGGATTCCTCGTCGCCGCAGCGTCGTGGTTGTGTTGTCGTCGTCGGGGTCTTACAATCGCGTTGTTGGCAGTAGTAGTAGTAGTAGTAGTAGTAGTAGTAGTAGTAGTAGTAGTAGTAGTAGTAGTAGACGCCCCACAAGCGCCCGCAAGTGCACGAGGCCGACACCGAGGGCAAACGCCAGCGTGATGCCCCTTCATCCTCGTCCTCGAGTCAGTGGGCCAGGCCGGCACGTTCCTCTCAAGAGGACGACTGGGACTGGTGGAAACAGTGGTCCTGGCACGGTTACCAGCAGCTTTCACAGCAGTGGCAGTACGGTCACCGCCAATGATCCTAGGGCTATGTCACAGACTCCCCAAATCCCGTATGGCACAGCCTCTGGGAATTCGAAGCTCTTCCGACGCTTCTGTAAATCCTTTCGGAAGCTGCAGTGCAGAAAGACCACCGGTGCAAAAAGTGTAGGTTTTTGCACTATGACTGAGCTGATCTGTACTGTCAGCCTTCATGGCTGGACTCACTCGGCTCTGCAGGTACACGTTCGTGATCCTTACGGCCTTCTGTCAACAGCATGAGTAATCCGTGTGGGACGCCACGAGACGGATACTCCAGGTGTCGGCTTCGTCTGAGGTACGGCCTAATTGCTGAGACAGGTGCACAGATGGACGCGTCTGTTCAAAACAAGGTGTCGGAGGAGGAAGCCTAGTAGACTTTGTAACCTAGTTGTATGTGCAGATTGAGAGGCTTTTGCGATGATTGCTAACAGCAGTTTCACGAGTGCACGAGACCAAAGCGCCCGCAAAGCGCAGAGCACGCTCGCGCAGCGTTCAATTGAAATAGTAGTAGTAGTAGTAGTAGTAGTAGTAGTAGTAGTAGTAGTAGTAGTAGTAGTAGTAGTAGTAGCGGTAGCCGCAGCAGCGGTAGTTGTTGTCGTCGTCGCCATCGTCGTCGTGGTGGTGACGTAGTACTGCTAGTTTACTTCTACTAGTAGTACTAGTAGTAGTTGTTGTTGTTGTAGCAGCAACCTGCTGATTCTGGTGTTTTATTGTAGCATGTGGGTGGGTCAGTGTCGTTCTTGTTAGCAGCCTCATCTTCGACCGGTCTCGCAGCTTGGTGGAATGTTCTCATGAACTGAATACAATATCGTCGACATCCTCGTTTGAAGTTCGCATTACATGTGGCCTTGACCGCTTGGCACACCAGGACACGTGGCTTTTAACGGCCTTACCTGCATTTCTGGGCTCAGGCCGTTCGCGTTGACTGTTCCAACTGAGTCTTTCACCGAGGATTCTAAGGCTTAGAAGATTTTTGGGCGACATATTGCAAAAGCGCACGAAACGATGGCTCGTGCCCTCAGAAAACCTATAGTCTATCAAAGCTCCATCACGAGCTTATGAATGCATACAGCCCGTATATAAAATCGAAAACAACTCATGGGAAACCTAGCCCCAGTAGCAGGACCAGAAGCCTGGGCTGCTTGGTCTGGACGTCGTGCAGGCAGGCAGTGGCAGCTTGTCGTAAGAACGTGCACCAGTATACCAGATGTGCCAACGGCTTCAACGTGCATCAGCATTAAGCAGAAGTTAAAAAATTCTAAAATAAGACATGAACAGGAGGAAGAAGAAGAACAAGAAAAAGACTATCAAAAGCCGCAGCATCTATATTCTCCTTCGTGGTCGACATAGCAACTAGGGGAATGAAGCTAGAGTAGTATTACAGTGTGAAGCCCTCAAGAAAATCCTCGTTGTGGAGTGCAATGTCTGCGCACGACCCTACTAACCCCCATACCCAAACCCCACGTAAGACGGGTTGTATTGTATGGGATACCGCACTTAAACCTCTTCTGAGCTTCGGTCTCATGTTGAAAGCTGTGCCGAATGAATCCGTACAGACCCGCAGACCTTGAACCCGACTTCTCATGCTCCAAAACTCAACTCAACATCGTGCAGTCCCCCAAACGCTGAATCTTGTAACCAGAAAGCGGTATATCGTACTCCCCCGGATGCTGAAGCTAAGTGACCCCGGTAGGAAATAGTGGTGTACGGAAGTCAAGAATGAAGGTTGAGGGTTGAACGCGGCTACGTACACCAAAGGCTAAGTAATGAGCCTGAGCCAAGCGGTTGTTGAAAGCCCGCAACAGGAGGATGACTTATGGTTCGACCTGAGGGACAAAGCTCCTTGGTTGAATCATGCACTTCCCTTCATCGTACACCCCGAGAGCTAATCAGTTGTTCAATCCAAAACCTCGTCCCGACGAGGTGAACCTCGAAGCCCAAGTCCTCAATCCAAGCCCGCCTCAGAATGTGCTGTTCTTGTGGTTGGGGAGTCAGAGGCATATGAACAGGCTCAGCAAGTGAACAAGCAAAGGCATCAAGAGAGAGACAGCTATGTGCGCACGTGCAGTAGCAGAGGCAGTTCTTCGCCCATGTGGGAGCATGCTTTCTGTCCGGTGCCGGTGATTTCAGTTTGTTTGTGTGTGTGTGTAGGTCCGCACGCCCCATAAACTCGCCAACGGTAGCTTTCAGTCAAAGCCTGCATCGCATTTGCCAGGGTCCATTTCGGATCTTTGGCAGAACCGAGGTGGTGCAGAATTCTCAACACTCTACAGCTTTCAGTCAAGCTGCCGTTGTCAAAAGCCACAGGCTTCAGGTTGGGTACTGGAGCACTTGAGCTTCATGTTGGTGTTCACTGGTTGTCGTGGGCTCAATCTACTATTCAGTCTACTTGGCAAGTGCGCCTGCAACTAGCTACATGTACTTCGGGCTTGTGACGTATTCCACAAGCTCAGAGAATCTGATTTATTCGCCCTGGTCAAGTCACTCTTTTCTCAACGGCAGTCCGGTGGTGATAGACGATGCATGCTTCGAGATACAATCAGATGGATTGTCCAGGCAATGCCACGCCGACCGATCGATGCAAGTCAGAGTCTTAGATCAGACAGGCTGCAGTTTTCAGGGGGAAGGTGCACATTTAAGTTTGGCATGGCTTGCGACTCAAGGTCCAACGGTGCCAACATCCCATATCATGGATGCGCCTCCGCCGGCCCCAATGCTGCGGGCCCCTCTACAGCCATGGATGGCCGGCAGCTTCATGTGAGAGCTGGCAGTCTTTGATGAGCACACGCTTCGTAATGTTTAGTATTCTCAATCTATCTACGCAAGCGGTGAATACCAGCCTACCTACTGAAATCTTCAATCCGTACACTGACGTTAGCTTTCCTTTCTCCAACCGTGAGAACAATAAGAGTGCTTAGCATGTAGGGCTTTGCACATGCATACCTGAAGGTCGCACGGACTGCATCTGGATGAAACGATGTCCTTTCATGCGCAATCATCAATGGGTACGTTATTGAGGCAGCGCCAGGAACACCACGCACTGGCCACCACAGCCGTCGCCAGGCTGATAGCGCTGGGAACAGAAGAAGGAATGGTGGTCAGCTTTCAGGATATGGCAAAGCTCATACCCAGGATGTTTCACCTTACGCTGCGAACATTTGCGAATTGCATGTTGTGAACCCACAAACAGCTGCTTGGCAGGGTTGAAACCAGATTGAGCTGGCGGTAAGTGTATTGACGCTTGTACACTCGGCGGATGTGGGAGCATTCAGGCTCAAAAGCCGGCTGGCAACAGAAACGCATTCGTGCTGCCTTGTCTTCAAATGCTTCAGAATCATTTCATGGGCGGGAAGTTACTTCTGTAGGAAAAACATGGAAAAACTTGTGCGCATGTGCTGGAGATCTGCAACATTTGCCTCCTACCGACATACAAGGACAAAGGCTGCAGCATCTCGGATGGTATGTAGCCTGTTGTGGCTTTTCGAGCTTGCCAAGCAGTTGGAGGCAGGCCTGCAAGAGGGGGAAAATGGCCCAACTATTAAGAGCTTAAACCCTACCGCGCAAAGCCCCTGACCCTGAAACCCTTGCCTGCCTGGTGCGAGTGCGAGCGTCGAAAACCATAAAGGTCAACCAGGTACAGATGCCCAAAACCCATAAAACCATCATGTTGTAAAGTGTTGGATCCTGGAAGCCAAGGCCACGGCCTTGTGCTTATCACGCAGGTCATGCTATGGATTAAATCAAGGTGTAGGGTTTGGGGCTTAGCTTGAAAAACTGCTCGGCTGAGCAGGTTGGCAAAGTGTTGACCCTAAGCCCGAGCGAGCTGCAAGTATTTTAGCTTTCGGGATTTGGGCATGAGGGTGTCAAGATGTTTCGGGGTCCTGGGCTTTGGGGAAGTTGGAGATTTGAACTTGTGGATGTTGGATCCGGGTCGAGGCTTGCCAACGCAGGAAGCAGACTGTCAAGGACTCCATCAGACCCCACCTGAGCAAAACCAGCTTAACCCCAAACCCCAAGCCACTCCTGAGCTTTGTCGGGTCTAATCGATCGAGAAAGAGAAGGAGAATAAGAAGAAGAAGAGAGAGTGAGAGAGCGAGAGAGCGGAAAGCAAAGCCTTCCTCCTCATGAGACTGCACATCCCTGTGAACCTGCTTGTTCCCAAGTCATGCTTGGTTTCTCTCCCGAGCTTAAACCACTGAATCGGTAAAGTCATAACGACTTGATCCGGGCGACCTTCATCTCTTTCGAGTCTTCAGCTCCTGCACCCAGCTCTCAAACGCCTAAGGCTAAGGCCTTTGTGAGGCCTGCCGCCTGCACAGCCACTGAGATCTCGGAGTATACAGCACCAAGCGGCTTCAGCAAGAGCAAGACGGTATCGCCAATACCCAGACTCACCACCCACCCACTCATCCATCCACGCACGCGGTCATGCACCATGTCGTCCATCCACTGCAGAACAACCCAAAGCCGAAGCGCCAAAGACAGCAGCTCACTGACAGAACGAGGGTCCCAACAGGTACCCGGGACAACCCGCATAAACCCGGAAAAGCCCCAAGTCAATCTCGAGGTTCCAGAAGGTCTTGACGAGTTCGTACGTAGTTTAAGGCTTCAGGGCCCTTATCTAGGCTTGAGGAGGCTGGGTTTTCACGAGACCGGGCTGCTGGACAACGGGGCTTGCCGCAAAACCAGGGCCTTTGCAATTAGAACAGGGTATTTGGGGCACGTGTTGGCAAACTTAAAATGGGGACTGAAAGGAGAGCCCGTAGTTCAGGGATCACAGGTTTAGCCGTCCGTTCCTTATGCTGCGGTTTCCGGCGGTTTGCAAACGGTTTTTTCGTTGATGTCGCCGTCCTCCCTTCCCGAATGAAGTCCTTGTTTTGTCCGCGCCTGGCTTTGTCTTATCCGCACCCCACGCGAAGGCTGCCAAGCGAAAGGGGGAGACAACGAAGGCTCGAGCTGAATTTGGCCTGCAACCGTCCAGTTCTCAAGACCTTGTTCGATTCGTTTAGGCTTCCACCTCGCGGCCTTGCTAATGCACGACAAAATCTTAGGGCTCTGTGGCGCCGTGATTGAGCTGTGAGGGCCAGGTGGCCAAATTTGCTGCCGCCCTGCTCGAGAATGTTCGATCTGTTGCTGGTGGTTCGCTTGGATGTACGCCAAAACAAAAAAGGACGATGTGATGACCTTGGATTGCTGGATGTAGGTCATGTCACGATGCCAAGCACGATGCATTTGGCTCATTGGGTTACTGGGTCTAGTAATGTAGCAGTGTTCTTGGCATTGGTGTGTCGTGTTGTGGGGCATGGCAAGACGTACGTTTCCATTGGGTTCAGCTGGATGGCAAGATGTACCATTTGGTCGGTTCTTTGCGATTGTGAAGTATGTGAATCTCTCCAGACCCTAGACGCGAGCTTTTCTCATGGCACTTCGGGTGACGCCCCTGGGTGCAGCGCAGCAAGTTGGCCGGAGTTGCATCCTCTTGGAGATTGGAGGTCGGAATGTGCTCTTGGACTGCGGAGTGGCGGCTCATTCGAGTGGCTCCTACTACCCGGAGTTCTCGTTGTTGCGAGAGGTGCAGAGTTTAGATGTGGTGATCATCACGCACTTTCATCTCGATCACGTAGGGGCCTTGCCCTATCTCACTGAAATTCTGGGCTACCATGGGCCCATCTTGATGACGCACCCCACTCGTGCGATAGGCCCAATCATCATCAAGGATGCCTTGTCCTTCCGTCGGGATGCCGAGGAACTTACCCCCGAGATGGTCGATGCGCCTTTTGATCGGGCGCGGTGCTTCCAGCTGCAGGAGCGAGTGCAGATGGGCGACCTGTCCGTGACCAGCTTCTATGCGGGACATGTGCTGGGAGCCGTGATGGTGCACCTCGAGTGCAGAGGGCAGAGCGCCTTGTACACGGGAGATTTTACCATGGTGTCAGACTACCACTTGAGTGCTGCTCGAGTCCCTCTGGCGCTCCACCCGGACGTGATGATCACGGAGACAACGTGCTGCACGACGATCCGCTCTTCCAAGCGGCGGCAGGTACATGAGCTTTGTAGCAAAGTCCAAGACTGCCTGGAGAAGGGTGGCAAGGTCCTCGTTCCTTTACTGGTAATGGGCCGCAGCACTGAAATCTGTATGATCTTAGAAGAGCATTGGGCCAAGGCCAAGCTGGAATATCCCATTTTCGTTATCAGCGCCATGGCTCAGAAGGCCAGGGTCTTCTTTCAGACGTTTGCCTCTTGGGGAAGCAAGCAGGTCCGATCCAGCAACAAGCCCTTTGCCTTTCCCCACCTGCGTTTTGGGACACTCAGTGAGCTCCTCGCCCTGTCCGGGCCGGCAGTGGCCCTTGCAGGCTCGGCGATGTTGGACTTTGGTCCATCGCAGGAGTTGTTCAAGGCCTGGGCACCCGAGAAGCAGAATCTCATCGTTATACCCGGCTACTGCCTGCCTGGCACAGTGGGCAACCTCGTTCAAGCCAAAGAGAAGAAGATCGATCTGTCTAGTGGCATCGTCCACGTCCGCTGCGAAGTGGACCACATGTCCATCTCTGACCACACGGACTCGCGGGGCATCGTGGAACTCATTAGCCAGGTCGCACCAAGACAGGTGGTATTGGTGCACGGTGGTCTGCAGCTGATGGACACATTCACGGCCATTGTTCGGAAGAGGTTGCGGCTTCCATGCCACATGCCCGCAGTTGGCGATCGTGTGGAGATCCCCAGCCCTGTAGTTGTGGAGGCCTGGGCCAGCTCCTTGTTGATGGCCCAGACGGAACCGGTCCCCCCGCCGCCAGTTGTCGGTGTGCCTGTCATCCATGCCGCGGCACCCGTGGTCACGACTTTCAGGGGAGAGCTGCGAAAGCGAGACCGCCGAGCCCTGGAGCTCCATGCAGCGCCCCATGCGCCCAGCGACGGGGCGAAAGCCAAGGCGCAGCGCATGCAGCGCATCCTGATCCGTCAGAAAGGCCGCTTGCCCTGCACAGCTCTCAAGGCCGCACTCCGCGACTCCAACCAGGACATCCCAGAAGAGGACCTTTGTTCCATCTTCGAGGTTGCCGGGGCGACGATCCTGGTGGATCAAATTCAGGCCGACACTGCGGCAGTCACGATTTCCTGGGTTGCCGGACTCGAAGATCGAGAACCGATACTCCACAAAATGCTGGACATCTTAGGCTAATATCGCATCCGTCTCGAACACTGGAACACCTCGCGGTGATCTGTGAAAAACAGAAGAGAAGGGTCCAAGGAAAGGTCGCGGAGGTGAAGCTTGGAGGAAGAGGATCCCGAGCTCGCCTCGATGAGGATGGCCGCTCCAACCGCGGAGACCGTAGGATGCCTCCGCAGCTCGAAAAGCTTCTAGGTTTGCCTCAGCCCATGTGGGGCACTGCCTACTGTTGAACAAGTTCTTGCCCTGGATTGCCGGGATTCGGGGCGCCGCAAGATGTACGATTTGCTGCTGTTGGACTGCTGAGACTTGAAGTATCAGAAGCACAACGCAACGAAATTGTTGCTGATGATCCGCCAAAACAGGAGGACAGAGGAAAGACATGAACAGGCCTGCGGTATGTTGCCATTGGATCGTGGGGATGACCTATGGGTCCCGGGGATGTGAGCCAAAGTTACGTGTACGATTTGTTCATGTGGGGGTGCGTGCGTTCACCACTCAAAACGGGCGGTTCTTCTCTTCAACACGCAGGCGCGCAGGGCACTTGTTGCGGACATGCAGGGAGCGACCTCCGTTTGGAGCGCTTTCTGTTGCTTGAATCATCAGTCGTTTAGTGGGCAATGTCCTGAACAAAGAGACGGCGCTACAGATGGCGCTCCGGTGCCTGCAGCCGGCGCAGGCTGTCCTGCGGAGCATCACCAGCAGCAGAGTGGCCTTGCGACATCGTTCTCCACGTCCTCGGCGAGACTGAGGAGGCCTTGCAAGATGCGGGCGGGTGACATGTGCCTTAGTGCAGACGCTTTTGCACTTGGCGCAGGCACCGAATTGAAAGAACGGTGGGCGGCTCAGCAAAAAACTAGGCAAGTGCACATCTCTGCGTGCCGCAATAGCAGACTTGCAGCTCTTGTTGGAGATTGCATGCTCTGTGTAAATGAGAAGCTGTTGGTTCCTGATGCAGTCGGCCTTATTTGGCACCAGTTGCCTCTCACCTGAAAACTTCGTAAACCCGAAACCCTGGATCCGAGAACCTAAACACAAAAAACCTCAAACTCGCACCCTGACTCCTTAACAGCTTGCAAGGAGAGGGCAACCTTGTTCTTAAACACTAAAACTGAAGCCTAAACCCTAGAAACCCCAAGCCGAATTAATCTTCGCAGCTACCTAAGCAAGCGCCTTGGGGTCATTCACGTAGTGCCCACCGCTCTGGTCCAGACACCCCACAACTGCAGTCTTTAGAATTTAGGGTTTAGGTGACCGGCAAGTCTTCAGTGGATCATTCTATTTGGCCGAGTATGCACCGGCACAGAGTCGGGTAAACACGAAAGGCCGCGATGCAAGGATCTGGCTAGCCCCAAGCCCAGTGGCACAAAGGTGTTTTTTTGGTAATGGTCCAGGTTCCAAATACCCATTGTTGGGGCTTCGGGTTCAACGTGGTTTGAGGTCAAACAGCAATCGCATGAGGCCCAAACCCAAGTCAAAGAAGGACTTGATGATTTGTAAGTCTAGAGCTTCTGAGAATTAAGTGAGAAGACCCAGGCTCTGGACCCTTACCCTCAGGCCTTCAAAGGGAGAGATGACAGTTAAGGTTCAGGATTGAGTGTTTAGTGCTTTAGGGCTATCTAAGTCTCAAAGGTCCAAAGGCCCAGCATCAAAGCGTACCGTCCACCCCATGGACTGCCACATTGCAAAAGCCGATGCAGTTCAGTCGCATGTTGCAACATGGCACTATCATTTTTCCATGCCCGAGCTACTTTAAAGTACCGCGCACACTCATGGACGCAACTTCCCAATCATTCCCAGAAATCCTCGACGGACGAGCTGTATCCACGGAGGCAACCTCGCAAGGTTTAGGATTTCGGATTTAGGACAACCTGTGGAATTTGTGGTTGTGCGGTCTATTACTTAAGCCCTCCTCTTGAAATTACCCACTGTCCAAGGCTTCGAGTCCTAGGTTGCTAGGGAAGCTCCGATATACGACACCACAAACCTTCATAACCAACGCTAAACTCCGAAGCAAACCCTACACTTTGAACTTGAAGCCTGAAAACCTAAGCCCAGAACTTCAGAACACCCTTCACGCACCCCCTGGATCCTTGAGACTGAGGACCAGCTGCAAAAGGGCAGCGGACGGCCTTGAACGAACAGGCCAGATATTTGTTTTTTTGACGGGAATGTGGGTTTGGCAGGCTGCGGGAGATGGTTGCAAAGAAAAAGGTTACGTAGGAGTTGTAGCTCTTAAGTAACGGACAAGCTTTGTTTGTAGTTCCTATGAGGGTCGGGTGATCCTTTTCGATGAATACATAATGGCACATCACGACGACACCATTCTAAAGAGACTGGAGATTGCAACTGGTCGAGGGCTTGTGGTGTCGTCAGGCTTGGTAGCTGGTAAGTGTTTAGGATTTGGAGCCTGGGGTTTGGAAAGTGAGACCCTCGCAGAAGAGTTTGCCCTTGGGTTTTTTTTCGGAGTAAGAGCTTGTGGAGCTTTTGCCTCCGCTGGAAGCAGGATAGGGTGAAAGCATGCACGGGTGTTTGGACCTCGGGTAGTGAGGTACATGTGAGCACCCCTCGCATGGAATCTACAACTTCGTAGATCACTTGAAGAGAGGAAATACAACAGCTTCCTATGTCTAGTTTTCAGGTTTGGCTTGAGCGTCCCAAGTGGCTCCGCAACACACTCTCGGATGCAGCATCCCTGTTCGATGTCTTGGATGTTGAGGTGTAGAGAATTGAAGAGCTCAGTATTTTTCCAGGTTTCAAAGTTTGGTTTTCAGGACGTAAGTCTGGTCTAGTGCTGAATACCAGTCAACCAATCGGGAGGGTCTACCGGTCTGTTCCTCCGATGTTGTCATCTGCTGTCAGCTGCCACCGCAACTTGTGCTTAGCAAGTTGGTAAGGGGTTGCGGGCTTCTTGGGAAGATACGTCTACACTGCTAGGCATCATGACCCTGAAAACAGGCCGAGAAAGACGGGTCTGAGGTGAGGCTACATCAAGGATGCCTTCCTCTCATCCTTTTTGTTTCTCCTGCACTCCTTTCCACCGTTGTAGGTTATGTGGATGAACTCCATCGTTCAGCGTCGACAAAAACACTTGTACCGCCATTTCATGCCAGGCTCAAGCAGCACATAGTCTTTTTCTGATCAGGAGACAGACGTCCTTTGCGAACATGGCTTTCCTTCGTTTGGGCTGTGCACTGATGCTCCTCTTCTACATCGAGAATGCCTGCGCCGTCAGAGAGGGCCATGTCTCGGAAGTGGAATGCAAGGAGAAGCTCACCGAAACCGCCGCGCAGCAATACTTCATTGTCGAGGCTCCTACTATCTTCGAACCCCCAGACCCTGCGCACCCTCCACCCTTAACCCCTAGCCGAACGAAAACTCTCAACTCTGATCCCTTTACCCTAAAGCCTTTAAAATCTGTACCCACTCGCCCTCCACATGCAACTGCAACTTCACCAAAGGCCGCGGGTCCTAAACACACAGCTTATTCCCGTGATGTGCCGCTCTGAGTTTAGAGCTTCGGGTTCAGAGCGTCCGTGCATGTGTGGTTCCTTCCCCCATTCTCTACAAAAAACTAGCTGAACCAGCTGAGCGAATTTAAAGTCTCCCACAGTGGCCTGATCTGGCAACCCGATAATCCATATCCCACATACTCAGCGTTAGGCTCTATGAAAACCCCACAAGCCTACGCTCTCAACCCTCAAGGCATCAAGCTACAAGGTGGGCAAGATTCCAACAAAATCCTTGTGCGAGTGGGCCACGAATGGACAAAATCCAGATGCCAGAAAGGAGGCGTTCAGTAGGGTCCGGTGCTGGTAGGCTGTAGGCTCACAAGACTTGGGTCAGTGTTTCTTCAAAGAGTTGTTCCAAAATACGAAACCCTACTTGCGTGTTGGAGGCGCTGACATACATGAAGACCGCGCTAAAGAAGCTGAAGGTGCCGATTGCCAAAGATTTGGTTCTTGATAAGTGGTTGGAGTTTTGGACGTAAGGTTAGGGTTTTCGGCTTAAGAGACAGGCTCGGCATGATCCTAATTCGAACAGAGGATCCCAAGCCCACCAAAATGAAAAATTGTATTCCCAGCTGTGTGACTAGTAAGAAGTTGTAAGTTGGTTTATAAGCCAGAGCGCGTTTCGGCATCAGCTCAAGCTTGCACCCGGGACGACGGACATTACAACAGTTGAACTCTGCCCGTATACGTCAACGCTCCTGCTCCCGTCACACGCATCGGCCTCAGTACGGGTTCAAAAAAAAAAACGTCCTAAATCTTAAAGCCAGAGCTTACTGACCATGTGCTTTCCTCATCCAGCGTTGAACACACCAGTCTACAGGTGACTGGGTGCACCGACGAGATGTTGGAGACAGGCTTGAACAAGTATTGTGCCTCTGTGAAGTGATGTTTCTGTGCTGTTACGAGAGCAGCGCTGCCATTGCAAAATCCTGGAGAGAAAAAAGAAAGATGCTGTGGGCAGGGGTACTGATTGTGGTTGAACTTGTGAGTGTGGGCTGGGGCTGGCTGCGGATGATCTTGCACCCAGCCTGTTCACGGTTTGCAGGCCTAGGTTTTTGAGCAACTGAACTGTAAAGCGGGCCCCCGACTCTAAGCTGTGTTTCCGTTTATCCGCTCCGAGTGCCCCTGAGCCGGGCAAACAACTGCAGCCAAGACAAGTAAAAGCCTTTGGTGTGGATATGTGTGGATGGTGATTCACACAGCGTCATTCGCATCACTGTAAAACCTCCCAGCGTCTGACTTTTGCCTTCTGTTCGGAGGCTCGCACTGCGACGCAGGAGCCGAAGAGGCGAACGGGTCAGCGGACTCGACTGGTTGCGCACACATGCACTGCGACGGCTATGTATGAGAAGCTGGAGTTCACGTTTGTCGTGGCACCCTCTGTGTCTATGAGATTCGAGAGGCCCTTCAGGGTGTGCCGCGATTTCGGAGCCGCGTCTTGATGGCCATTGATGATTGTACAGTAGTGTTCTTGGTATGGGAGCTGGCTGCAGGTCGTGCACCGGCCCTTGAACTTTTTGCGTCAAGTTTAAAGTTGGAGAACACCAGGTTCGGCTGTCCCAACCCTCCGTTTCTCAGACTTGGAGACAAACAATCCCAGCCGATACAGCCAGTCGGATGCATCATCCATAAAATTACCGGTAGATTAAGTTACACTACCCACAGGCAAGCGGCTGAAATTTTAGAGTTTCCCAAACCCAAACCGTTTCAACCTGAATGTTCAACCTAAATCCTGCAGAATTCATGCAGTTGGGATGTCCTGCTTCAACAAAAGGCCTTTGAATTCCCTTACGTGAAGCCTGAGACGGAACACCTGCGGCGGTCAAGGCGGCGCAGTCGAATTACTATTTTGAGATTGCACCGGTGGGCCTCAATCCGACGACTCCTTGCATTGGGCGCTGGCACTGTACTCAGTTAGCAGCGGCCGGGTCCGGGAGAGGGATGGAGGGCTTTGGCTTTTGGCTGTTCAGATGTGTAGGAGGGGCCGCAGGTCAGAGATCGAGGAATCAGGGCTGAGCGCTGTAGATTGTTCATGTTTCCTTGACTTGGCCTTGATGGCATTAGTAAGCAACTCGAGCTTAGGGCTTGGATTAGATGACATCGTGTTCAAGCGAGTTGGCATCGGTGCACGAACGAACATTGCTGCAGGGTCGTAACCTATTGTGTTTGCGATTGTCTCTTGATCTTCAAGTTGAAACACCTGCCGGCGTTCAGAGCCGAAGACCCAGGGGCCGCAGCCAGCCCTCTACACTTGCCGTTCGGATATCACAAACGGGCCTCGAGCAATCCTGAATTCCAATCCGAGCCACCAGGTTTTCGAATCCCTTCACGACAACTTATCAGCATCTAATGCAACGGGTCACATGATCGCTCGCAGGCTCTGGTTTATGATTCAACGGTTACTTGTAGCCCTCCCTACATGTCTGGAATCGCTATCTTGCATAAATGCTCGGGACCCGACGTGTCTGGAATCGCTATCTTGCATAAAAGCTCGGGGCCATTTCGTCGCTCCCGACATATCTTGATTCGCTAACTTGACAAGCTTCGTTTGGTGACAAGTTCGGTCTTTTACATATCTTGACGTGCTGAATTGGAAAAGACTCGTTTCAGCACTATTTCATCGCCCCGTACATGTATTGCATCGACAGCCTGCAAAACAGATCGCTTTGGGACAATCTCATCCCACTTTATGTCTTGAACCGTTAGCCTGTGGAAAAGGTTTGCTCGATGATAAATTCGTCGCCCTCTGCATGTCTTGAGCAGTTGTCTTGAAAAATATTTCGTTTGGGGAACAGTTCGTCGCCCCGTACATGTCCTGAGAAGTTAGCTAGCTCGGAGAAAAGCTTCGTTTGGGGACAATTCCGTAGTTTCGCACATGTCTTGAATATTCAGCTCGGAAAAAGGTTCGATAGGGGATAATTTCGTCGCCCCGTACATGTCATGCCTCACGACCCTTTTGAATGGATCGTTTGGGGACAGTTCATGTCTTGAAACCCGCAACTTCGGCGCCCCTCGCACTATATGTCTTGAATCGTTAACTTCGGGTCAGGGTTCTTTTGGGTGCTATTTCGTTGACCCCTACATGCTTTGATTCGCTGTCTTGGAAAGAACTCGTTTGGGGACCATTTCGTCGCCCCCCTGAATGTCTTGAGTAGCTGACTTGGGAAAAAGACTCGTTTGGGGACAATTTCATCTTCTTTACATATCTTGAACCACTTTGGACAACAAAAGCTTATGTGCTCTTTCGGCGCCCGTTATATGTCTTGGTCTATTAACTTGGAAGAAAGATTTATTTGGGGACAATTTCGTCGCCCCCGACATGCCTTGAATCGAATACTTCCAAAACAGAGTCATTTGGGGACAATTTCGTCACCTACTTCAAATCCTGAACAGCCAAATTGCAAAGAATTCTTTTGGTGAGAGCTTCGTCGCTCCCTACATGACGTGAGTCGCGACATTGCAAAATGGTTCGTTTGGACATAATTTCATCGCCTCCTACATGTCTTGCATCCCTAACCTGCAAAGAAGGATTCGCTAGGAAACAATTTCGACTCCCCCGATATGCCTTGAATCGAAATCTTGCAAAGAGGATTCGTTTGGTGACAATTTCGTCGCCCCCCAACATGTCTTGAAATGTTCGCTTGGAAAGATGGTTGTGTACCCAAAATTTCGTCGCCCTCTATATGTGTTGCATCGCTGGCTTGGAAAATATCGTTTGTCTATTTCGTCTCCGTTCATATCTGGACCGTTACCTTGGAAGAAAAGCTCGTTTGGGGATAATATTTCGTTTCGCCGTACATGACTTGAATCGTTTGATTGGAGAAGGTTCCTTCGGGGACAAATTCGTCGCCTCCTACATGTCTGCAATCCTTAGCTTGGAAAGGGAGCTTTTTGGCGGACAACTTCGTGGCCCCTTGTATGTCTTGCGTCGCTGGCATGGGAAAGAGCCTCGTTTGGGGACAGTTTCGTCGCCAGCAACATGTCTGAATCGTTGGCTTGGAAAGAGCAAGGCTTGTGTAGAATTTCCTCGCTCCCCTATGTGTCTTGAAATGCTAACTTTCAAGAAGTATTTGTTCGGGCACAATTTCGTCGCCCCCTACATGTCTTGAATCGGTACCTTCCAAACAGGATTCGCTCAGTGATAATTTCGTCGCCGCACTCATAGTTAGAATCACTGGCTTTGGAAAAGAATCTTTTGGAATCAAGTTCGTCGCTTTCTACGAATCGTTATCTTATCCCGGAGATCCGTTTGGGGACAACTTCGTCGCCTCCGATATGTCTTGACTCGCTACCTTAGAAATCAGATTCGTCTGAGGACAGTTTCGTCACAGACTATATCCTGAACCGCTGACTTGGACAAAAGACTCTTTTGGTGACCTTTTCGCCGCCCCCCTCCCACATATCTTGAATCATTAACTGGGTAAAAGTGAGTGAGTGAGTGAGTGTCGACCAGCACTTACGGTGCGGCCTACCTCCCACGTCCCTCTCAACATCTCAGGGGGGCTCCGCAAGCGTCATCGCCTCCCTCCGTCCCAGAGTTCAAGTGGGGGAAAAGCTAGCTAGTGCAGACAGGTCACGGTGTAGAATACTAAGATACATGTTTCAAACACAGGAATCGGAGAGGCATAGTCCTTGATCAGGGATAAAGCAGGCAGGAGGCCAAGCCAGACGCCACCAACCGACAATACCTAGGCTGGTATGCGCCAAAGAACACACCAAGCAACCGGCAGCAGACGCAAGGAGTTGCAATGGGGCGAACCGTGCGGCCAGTGCCGAGGGAGCGAGGCTCCATGCACAGAGGGCACACACAAGGCGACCCAAAGGCGTGCGCCATGTGCCGAGGGAACACTGTTCCAGCACCGAGGGCGAGCACGCCACCAATCAGGTACAGTAAATAAACATACACACTACCGCGGCAATGACAAGCACAGAGGCGCAGCCCTGGAACAACAAAGGTAGCAATCCAGGAACTGTTAATGCATATGAGCGTGGAATACCTTACATATACACTGGATGTCCTCAGGCCCATGATGGGTGGAGACGTCGGCATCGTCGGATCAGTTGCAACAACAGTTGAGCCAGAATACTAGAGGGCACTGTCGCTCTAGCACAAGGGCGGGGGGGAAAGGGGGTGCTCATCGGGCAAGAGCCCTTAGTGCCGCCGCCCGGGTCCACACCTTTCCACAAGAAACCCCCGCCCCGAAGAGAGTGCTAGGCCCGGGGGAACTGGGAAAAGAAATTTGTTAGGGGACAATTTCGTCGCCCCATATATATATATATATATATATGCTTGAAAATGCTGGTTTGGAAGAAGATTTGCTGGGGTGCAAGTTCGTGCTTGTTTCATGTCTTGAATCGCTACCTGTACAAAGAAGTTGTTTGGGGACAATTTCGTCGCCCCCTCCATGTCTCGAGTCGTTGGCTT